CCACAATAAGTGGTGGGGTTAAAACTTGAAAATTATCGAGCGTCTGAAACAAGTGTGAAAAGGTAACACTCGTATTCCGAAAATGTCTTAATATTTCCATAGACAATAACAAATAAAACAAAATCACCAGTGTTTGGACACTTTGCATTTTCTAAACTGTACTATTTCCCACTCGGAACGAACGCTCTTTTTCAATGAAACCTTTAGTCTTCTAAACTGGCTCCGAAAACTTGACAAATATGTATTGCTGATGTCCTTGCAACTGCTTTGTAGTTGAAACCATTCGACAGCAAGCCCTTAATTTCTGCAGGTAGCTTTACTAGAATTTAAATTGAAAACATTTAAAGTATGTGTTATCTCAATTGAAATGAAATACATCAAAATGAAATACAAAAAAATCCTTAATACATAACTGTATACAAAAGTTTATATACAAATAACATGTACTTTGTACATGGTAGGTGTCCTAAGTTATTGATACTGAACAAGTGAATAAAGTTTCAATATTATATCATAACTGGTTTATGGGATCATATTTCATAAACCTTCTGACAAAACATTTTAGCTTTAAAATGGGCATAAGTATGTCAAATTGTGAGCCACTCATACGAAACTTGTTCATTGACCTTAGATGTCAACACTTAATATGTGTTTTAAGTTTCAAAGGAATCGCTAAAGTAGTTTTTGAGAAACCATTTTTCATGAAGATTCTAAACCATAAATTCAAAGCCGAAAAAGAGGCATAATTTGATAACAATGCAATACAGAGATTTCTAACTTAGAGCGTGTTCTAAACAAGTGTGTGAAAGTTCAAAGCTGTATGATTTATTGTTTTTAAAATACCATTTTTCATGAAACTTCTTAACTACAAATTTCTTAGTCAAAATAAGGCTTATAATTTGGTCTATATTCAATATAAGATGGACGAAGAAAAAACTACGGGTGAAAACCGATTGAAACTGCAGCAAACAACAATTCGAGACTGATTTTGGATTTAAAACTGGAACCCATATAAAAAAAAAAGCGTTTGATTCATACGCTGTATGTGCATTTGAGATTATATATGCCTGTTCCGGAAATCAAAATAAAAAATGGATATCCAATGCAATGCAATGCAAGCAAAGTATTTTCTTTTCTTAATCAATTAAAAAGACTTATATAAGAATAAGATTCTGTTCTTGCATATGAGCTCACATATTTTGTTTTTTAAATAAGTCTCCAGGAAATTTAGGTAAATGAACTTACCTCGTCTGAATCGTTGTCATATTCTGCCATATTTTCCTTGGAAATTATGAGGCAAGCACGTGGGGCAATAACAAAATCCATAAGTCAAAAATCAAAAGTCATAAATCAAAAGTCATAAATCAAAAGTCATAAGAAAAAAGTAAAATAAATCTATAAGTCGAAACTCAAAAGTGACCCTCCAAGGCTTCCATATGTTATATACCTATTTTTGTTACAAAATTTATAGAATATTTACGTCATTTTAACATACAATTTGTTTGATAAATTATAAAACGAATTTTCATACAAGGTTAAAGGAAGCGACAATATTCATTTCCATTATTTCAGTTATAAGTTATAAATAGAATGTAAGGATGTCATAAAAGATGCATTTTTGATATTTACAAATTGCAGAGCTTCGTGTAAAAAACTTATTTCTTCCATTTTGTTGCCATGGGTATACAAATTCGTCAGTGAATTTACAATAACTCTATGCGGATATTGTGTTTTCCTTTAAAACCCTTTATTCTTATTCTTAAAATAAAAAAGTACATTTGTTAGACAATAATGTCCCTTTATCAATTATAAATAAATTAGACTCAAACGCCCTGAGTAATTTATTTCCTATACTGCAGAATTGAGTTGTTGTTTTCAGATAAAACTTATTCAAATTATTATAATGTTTTTCATGATTAGCGAATGTGTTGGGATTTTTTAAAATGAAGTTTATTTGGTTCAAAAGGGCAGGAGTCATATTTTTGATTCGTCCGTTCCGAATCGAAAATGTCTGAAATTGTTATCATTTATTTTCTGTAAAATCACTTAATTGTCTCCCCGGTGATATAGAAATGTGATACGCCCGTCTGTCTGTCTTTCCGTCAGTCCGTCCGGATGTCCATTCGTCCGTCACACGTTCGTGTCCGGTCCATCACTATGTCACTTATCAAAGAAATTTGAAATAACTTTTCACAAATGTTTGTAATAATAAAACGATGTGTCATGCGCAACAACCAGACCCCTATCTACCTCTAAAGTCAAGGACACACTTAGTGATTTGGTCAACATTGTCTATTTTAGGGTATAAGTCGTGTTCGGTCCTTAACTTTCTTATCCATGAGGGGATTTTGAAAAGTTGCCTACCTCAAAAGTCAAGGTAGCAGTTGGAGGTCAAAGTTTGATATGGTCTATTGTAGGGTATATTTTGTTTCCAGTTAATAACTTTCTCATCCATTAAGGGATTTTTAAATACTTAGCACAAGTGACGGGGATGTTGGCAACTCTGTTAAAAACAACATTTAGAGCACCTACAAAACACTATACCTAAAAGGGCGTTTTTTAAAAAATTTATTCATTATTCCCTGAATGGGTTTTTGTGGCTCACACAAAAAAACAGAAACACATATATTTATATATTTTTCCCCATGACTTTGTGTCCGTCGCCGTTTTTGAGATGGAAAATGGGAAATTGGAAAGGGAAAAAAGGGCTTTAAAATGAAATTTTTTGAAAAATAATAAAAGAAATTGGGTTAAAATTACTCCCTTATATAATTAAATTAGTTTTTTTGGGGGTAAATTTAATACCCTTTTGAAAAATTTTAAAAACCTTTATTTCTCAAAATCGAATATTGTAATTTTCGAAATGTGACTCATTGGCTAATTGTCTTTATCCTATTTTGCTTTTGGTTGCTTTCTTGAAATGTTTACAGTTATAGTATGGAATCAAAATACTACTTTCATTTTGCCAGCTCTGACAAATAATTTCACATTCAGTACTCCATTTTTAGGCTTATAAGCATTGTTTCAATGTTATAAACAGTCCACAACTAATGTTTGCACTATTTGAGGACGGATATTTTCTCGTGCACAATATGCTTTTAACTAGTTAAACCATTATTTATAGCGCTGGCTTTATTGGAAAGACTCTCTCTCATATTGCAGGATATGCAGTGTTCGTCATACCATCATAATTAAAATACTTGAAAATTCAATTCTATCATTTAGGAACTCATTTGCAGCACATTTCAAAATTGTCCATTCTGCTTAATACAGAACAGCAAGGTACAGTTGAATGCCACGTAGACTGTATATGAGCCGCATCACGACAAAACCAACATAGTGCGTTGGCAACCAGCATGGATCCCGACCAGCCTACGCATCCGCGCAGTCTAATCAGGTTCCATGCTGTTCGCTTACAAACCCTACTACAAGTAGAGATACTGATATCGAACAGCATAGATCCTGATCTTTAGTGATAGTGATTCTAGTTACTTTAGTGATATTTCAGCTCATCTTAGCACAGAGTGCCAATGTGAACTCTTTGTGATTGTATAATGTCTGTTATTTGTACCTGAATCTTGTCAGCATTTTGCTTTAAAAAGATATGAGCCGCGTCATGACAAAACCAACATGATGGGTTTGCGACCAGCATGGATCCAGACCAGCCTGCGCATCCGCACAGTCTGATCAGGATCCATGCTGTTCGCTTTCAGTTTCTCTACTTGTAATAGGGATGGTAAGCGACTGCATGGATGCGCAGGCTGGTCTGGATCCATGCTGGTCGTTAAACCCATTATGTTGGTTTTGTCATGGCGCGGCTCATATGTTTAATCGTTAGAAACTAATACAGAAAACACAAGACTTGTAAGTCAAATCATAAAAACTGTCTTTATAATAGTTGATACATGTACATAAGCTTTAATAGTAAAGAAATTTTTTACTTTAAAAAGAATTAAGACGTTTTGGCCTGTTATTTAATTTCACTTTGCCACAAGTTTTATCACGGTTCTTAATACAAATTCGTGGTTTCGTGCGTCATTAATACATGAATGTAGATATATTTTGTTTTTAGATACCATGATACATTGGACTATTCAGAAAAACTATTTAAATCATTAGAATTTAATATATACCAGAATTATGTAAAGTAAATTCATTAGTCATATAAGTGGCATAACAGTTTTGCGAAAACATCGGGTATTTTAGTCTTTTCTTTCCTCCGGCTCTGTAAATAGACAGGGTTCACAGTAATTCAGTGGGCAGGGAGTGACCTCTTTGGACCGTTGGTTATAATGTAGGTGCTGGTATGGTTACTTTTCAAATTGCCATATATATATTAATAATCTTTGACCATACAATAAAAAAAGCCGGTTTTAATTAAGAATTTTATTATGAAATAGTTATAAAACTATTATGTAAGTACCTCGATTTTACTACAATTAACATTTTCACATTTTGATGATTAATAAGAGTGCATGTATATCATCTGAAAATAAATAACAGAAACGAGGTGTGATTTTCTTTACAATTATACGCCATAATATATTTTATTTGTTTAACATCTTCATTTAACAAACAAAGTTTTAAAAGTTTTAAAGTTCAATTATCACACGTTTTAAAAGTAAACTTAATCAGTAATAACACTTACAAATTGTTTTGCGAATGAAACAAACTATGTTTAAATCGATTCGTTATGAACATGTATATTTCAATACAATTTGTAACCAATACAATATTTTGTAGTTTACAAGGGATGTCGCGGTAATTCTTTGTGTTCTATTTACACAACAAAACTGCTTTCAATAATCTCAGGTTTTATGTTTTAAAAGTAAACTGCCTGTATTCAACTGTCATAATTCAAATGAATGCCTCAAAAAGTTTCATTGATATCACAGGACTTGATTTGAGCATATCTGTATTGCCTAAGAGTACATGTTTAACTTTTTATGCCTTACAAACAACAAAGTGGTTGTTTAAACAAATGATATCGATTCCTTGCAGTTGATTATACATTTTATTTGATAAGATAATACCCACCTTATTAATGTGCACCTATATATTTTAATTATGATGCATCTTCCTATTAGATCTTTGGTATATATGTGACAGTTCTAGCATTACAACATAGCGAACAAATACACACATAAAAGTGGAACCTTACATGTTCTAAAATGTGAAAGTCAATATTTAATCGAATAGTGTAACAGTTGTTTATATATTATATATATCCATGAATAAATATTAGCAATTATACAATGACGGAATGGTAAAAGAAACTATATTGATCAATGATCTCGAAAAGAGTAAATGACATCACTCCCTGTCAATGTTTCCTCTCCGCTAGTTAAGGTGATCTGTAAAGAAATACAAATAATTAGAAATAATAGTTCATTACTTTGCATTATAATGACTATTGGTCAAAATGTACATTTCGTGCTTGATAAGGTAATTTTTATGTGAATTAGGAACCTATAATCAATTTCATGGTTTTTCATGGCTTGAAATAAAAGTTACCGCTAAAAATAGTTTAATGTTTTGTCCGGTTATATGAAGGATCCCAGTAGCGTGTTGAAATGTGAAATATAGCAAGTATATGCTTCAAGATAAATATTTTATGAATTTTTTCATGGCAATTAACATTTGGTGGTCTTAATGGCTTAAAATCCAGTATTTTTATTTATATTTCTAACAAAGAAAAACAATGGTCGACTGGTATAGATATGTTCTGATATTTTGCACATGTAAGAACTAGATCAGGGCAGTTAAAACTTTAAAGAATTACTGGTCAAAGACTGTAGAGAAATTTATTGAATCTATGAAATTCTTACTAAATATGTCTATTATTTTGGTATTTAATGACACTATGTATTCCTTCTGTGTTTACTTAATTTAAAACTACAAATATCTTCTCTTAGTATACTTAAAATATGTTTATTTTTCATTTAAAACAACTTAACTGTATTATCAGTATTTTCACATTTGAGCACAATATATATCTAATATACAGGTATAAACTATTTAATAGAAGTTGTTTTTATTTTTGTTTAACACCCATATTATTATAATCCAAATTATTATCTAGACAATATAGTGCTAAACCGTCATGACGGTCATACAAAATACGTACATGCAAACATTTATGAAATCTGGTTTGATTTGATTTGAGATGTGTAAATATCATTTGCTCGGATGTATTTCTGAAATAAATATAACTCTCTATGGTGTATTTTACCTTAGCACCAGCCACAAGTTTTTGGACAGTCTGTAGGGACGTTTGACATCATGCTGCAGTATTGTTTCCAACCTGAGCAATGAGGAGGTTCGGTACCACTGCCACAGTCCACTGAAACCGGAAAACAAGGTATCAACGTAGCCACATACAATTTCTTTTTTCATAGAAACAATTCCGTAATTCTTAATTTATAAGGTTGAATTACAAAATTAATGTCTTCATTCAGTTCATAAATAAAACGAGGTTTTTAATCATTTTGTGTTTTCAATTATAAGTTTCAAATTCTAACGACAGGAAATTTACAAATTGAATATTTTTATTCAATACGGATTACCGGTATCATTATCATTTATAAATCCGCTGTTTAATTTCTGGATAATAAAAGTCTGTTTTGTTTTTTATATAAATTGGGCGCTGATGTCCACAGATATTATCATGATCCATTCAAAGTTATGTTCATTACATGTTAGAAACACGTATGTTCTTAGATAGTATACATTTCACTACTTACATGAACAATCGGGCGATTTGTAAAATTTTGATTTACAAGTACACGAGCATGAGTTTGGATCCATTGTTCCGCCATTCTTACATAAAGCTTTCTTGCAATCTAAAATAAGAAACAAACATAATAGCGATGATAACTTATGTTAAAAATCTTTCTTATTATTGTAATGTTCAACCGTTAGCGAAAACCTTACATTTCATTTTTCATTCATTATCGTATATTATTCAGTGTGAACATATAAATTAGGTGTCTAAAAGTGCATTTTGGCGGGTGAAAAGATGAGACTTGAGCATTTAATCATTAAAGCGCCTTGTCCGGTATATACCGGAATACGGCATTTAGTGTGGTGCTCAAACATTTTATTAGTCTAACTCATTATCAATAATACTTAATATGCAAGGCGCCTGGACATTATTGATTTTAGGATTTTTAATTTATTATTAAAATACACGTACCACACAGCTTGTTATTGCAAGAGCTGGAGCAGACTGAGCATGGTGTACCGGAGGTGTACGGTTTTTCTCCTTGCATATTTCCTCTGTAAAACGAGCAATATATCTGATAAAAGTATCATTACTCACTAAAAAAATTATCTAGATCACTATGCTCTAGGCTTAATGTATCGTGTGTTTCCATTCTCGCTATCTACTCAACAACCCAAAAACGTTTTATCCCCCCCCACCGAAAATACGTATATATATTAACAGAACCTGTTGCTATCTGTCTAACGTTTTTTTTTTTGGTATAAAACTGGGATTCATGCTGACATTATGCAGCTTTGGTTCCAAACAATAATAAGGGCGCTAGGCATTCACATTTTTATTTTATTTCATATATATCATTCTACGGAAGCGTCCTGGTGCCAATTTAAAACAAGATACTCCTACGTAGGATATAGAAGCCTAGTTATTAAGTAATTAGGAGTTTATAACTCGTACGAAGGACTTTATAAGTGTTGTCCTACGTAGGAGTTATAAAGTCCTACGTAGGTTTTTAAAGTCCTGCATAGGAATTATAAACTTCTAATAAGGCCTTTCTACCTCCAAAGTCCAACGTAGGAGTTATTAACTCCTAATTAGGCCTTTTTATCTCCTACATGTACGTTGGTGTTATAAATCATACGTTAGAGTTTAAAGTCCTACGTAGCAGTTATAAACTTTTAATTTGGCCTTTCTACCTTATAAAGTCCACGTTGGAGTTATTAACTCTTAATAAGGCTTTTTTTTATCTCCTACATGTACGTTGGAGTTATAATGAATCCTATTTAAGACTTTTTTCTCTCCTATCTGCTATCTCGTATTGGCACAAGGACGCTTCCGTATAATTCAGATATAGATAAATGCTGTATATAATTAAAAGGACTTTGGATAAAAAATATAATGTTACCAAGCTAACACCCCCCCCCCCCCACCTAACTAGCCAAATATGTGTAAGTGTTTTAATAGAACTTTTAAATGCCTTGCGTTTTCTTGAATATCATGTATCTTAAAGGGTCCAACATAAACATAAAATTGTCAATTCTTGCATGGATCACATAGGGCATATACATCAGACAAACACTAAGAAAATTATAAAAATGTATTAGGAATTAAAGTGAAAATGAAATTTCGTGCAGTGCTTTCTAGCACGATATGAGTTTTTCGGTCATTTTGCAAAACACAAATAATGATTCTAGAAATACGCATGTTATTGGAACAGGTCTTCATCAAATGATACACGAATCTCGGATAAAATTTGAATTTGTCATTTAAGATAAAAAAAACATAGAAAGAGTTCCTTTAAGCTAATTATTTGGAATAATTATCTGGAATCTTCGTTAGATGCTGTTTACATTTATCTATGAAATCGGTTATTGACTGGTCTTATTTGCTATAATTCCCTTAGTCATTCTAAATGTAAATGGCCTCACGTGCTAATGATCTATGCGGTTATCATCAAAACAACAATTATAAAATTAACAACTGAAAATAGAGGAAAATTTTAAACATTTGAAAACAGATGAAAATTAAATGTGTACTAACGCTGGGCCATAGTTACACACGAAGACATCTGTGTCTTTTCCTCTTTGATTACACAACGCATAACCACACCCTACTCTTATACTTGTTGCCCAGACAACCTGAAAAAGAACCAATCTCAATATTTCATTTCCAATCGGTTTATCAATCATGATTTTAATTACATGTATTAGATATTTAATATGTAGAATACGCACATGGAATTTTGGACGATATTAAAGATACCCGACTATCTATGAGATAAACGGGCATATCAAGTTAAAGCAAAAAATCGAAGCTGTTACAATGAATATGTATTTTTCAAATGTATATTGTTAGTCCAATTAATTGCAAATTGGCCAGTTTTTCAACACGTATCTATAGTCAAATCTCGGCGGCCGATCCGCTAAACCAGCTTTCTGGATAACTTATTAGTGATAAACGTTTTCTCCACAAGCTTATCCCACATGAGATCTGAATCAGTGGTAAGAGAAAAATGACCTTTAGACTGAATGTCTGAGATCAACTGTCGCAGAGAAACTACGCCCCGTCCGAGGACCGAACTAGCGCCTCTGAGATTGCTAATCCAATGCTCTCACAATTGGCCTAAAATTGAGATAAAAACATGATTAGTGTAGAACTGTTAATGACAAGTACCTGGGTGTAATGGCCGACCACTTTTCCTGGTGCTTTTGGCTTGTTTGTATTGTAATCGTAGTCGTATTTCTCGTCCGCCCAAAGCTTTACAGCTTTTGTCCAACTCATGCCAGGTGAGCCCCATGCAATGTTCTGTCCAACATTAAATTTACCTACAAGAAATATGTAAATTTAAGGACTAATAAAATATATGTATATTAAGCAAAATAAAGCAACTTAAGTATAACTAAAATCTGAACCACGTGGTCGTAAATTAGAAGTCGTATCTTTCATAGAAAACAAAAGAGTTTTGCAACTCCCCGGACCCGGTTTAATTATGTATATGTAACAATCAAATACATAAAGAGTCGTAAGTTGTAAAATTTATACATTATACATTATTACTACAGACATTAAGCAACATATTTGCTACAGACATAGCTTATAAAATGGTCATGATGCTAAAATATTCGCCAACAATTTCGTAAGTTTAAGGTGCCTAATTGAGGTTTTTTGACAGGACTCGACTGAAAATATTGTTTGAGACTTGTGTGCGATTTGACGAAGGTCTGTAAAATTTAAGTTCATCCGTTCACTCTATTGTTTTTTGTTGTTCTTTTTAATATGCGAAACGACATACTGTAATTGATTTATATGATGTAAATGTTGAGAATGTAAAAATACGTAAATAAGGGAGGTAAATCTTCAGTACATATTATACATTTCTATAAAAAGGATTGTGGAGTTATCCCTCTTAGTATTAGCTATAACAAGTCTCTTGTAATTCTTTCGAGAATGGCTATATACAATTTCAATATTTTAAATGTTTTATATGTATATATGTGTATAGATGAGACTATAATAAGGAATAAAATTTAATAATACATGTAATATATAAATAAAACAAGATGTTTTAACCGCTTTTAGCTGCAATCGGTATAAAATTCGCAGGCATGGTCACTGCTCAATTCAATTAATAGTATATTTCATCTTTTGCTTATAAATAAGTTTTCAAGTTCATTTAATATCCGAGAAAAGAAAATTGAAGGATTTTTTGGACCTTAATGGAGTTCCTTTAATAGATATAGAATATTTGTATGTTACGAACCAAACTCAGCTCTGTCGTATGACTTATCATGACCGGAAGGACATGTATCAGCCCATCGTTGTGCTGTACTGGCCAAGTCATCATCCCAACTCTGTAATACATTGTAGACAACAAGATAAATTTCCAATTGTAATTATAAAACGAAAAAATGACATGAAAAGTTCATTTAACCAAAAAATCAAAATATGTTACAGTTTTAAACTTCACTACCAAATATAATATGGCCAAAGCAGTTTTCCAAATCACTTTTCAGCAAACATGTTTACCTTTAGTGAAAGTATATCAGATTTGTTATATATGTTAAAAGTGTCACGATCAAAATTTGCATTATCAGTATATCATTTTTCACATTTCGTTCTATTGTTTACCCTAGCCTTCATATTAAGGTATGACCATCCTAATGCATTACTTCATCTTTGAAGAGTATTTAAAAAGGTTAGAACTACTGTTAAATACATTGAAACTAAGGGCCGTGGGTTCAAACTCCAGAAGGGTCAACGTTTTCTCTCTAATGTATCTCTCATATTTCTTCCGGGGAGAAAAAAGTGTTTCATTTTAATTACTTAATTTATAAAGGTATTTATTGGCTAAATAATACGAAATCTAATACTAGTAACAAATATGGTACTTGATATATTCAAAGTGCAATTAATTCAATACTAGACGGTAAACATATTCAATATCGATAAACTTTCGAAAAATAATGTAGGAAAACTTTGAAAACAGGCACTAATTTTAGTAAATTTTAGTGATTTTTTATAAGGCTCTTTAAGTAGGTAATTGGTAAAACACGTGTTAAAAATGGGTGGGATAGGGTAACATTTTTACATATATTTCATAAATTTTGAGTAGAAACAATCATTTTGCTTATGTGGATTGTAAGCTTAATGTTACATTTTGTTTCTTACAAAAACATAATAGGAACATTTTTTATTTCATAAGGATGATATTGTAGATTACTTAAAGGTTCCTCATTTCCAAAACAGGCCTTTCTAACATCCAAGATGAAATTCAGAAAAATAGCCATAACTCGATTTCGGTAAAGTTTGTTTAAATTTCGCATACAGGTGTACTTTAAGGTATATATCTGACCTATGTTGTCAATTGTTCAGTTCCTTATAGTACCCGTTAGGATGGTCATACCTTAAAGCATCTGTCTTTCACCCACGGGATTCTAAATGTCAGGCTTTCAACTGTCACGACATCATGTATATGCCATTATATTAGTACATCAATACTACATAGACTAAGTGTAAAATAGAGAAAAACAGAATCTCCAAAGAACGCACAAAAATACTAAATTAAAAATGTTGCTGGCTCGGTTTGGTTGTTCATGGACAGTGGTAGTAATTTCAAGCTACCGCCCACGTCCCCTAGCACCGGGTTATGTAGAATGAAAAAAAAAAACTTGAAAATGGATAACTTTTGAATTCAGAAACATACAAGGATGTTTTCATAACATGGGAAATGTCATTATCACATGTACACGTTCGTGCCTTTCCATGAATAGCGGCGTATGGTAGGTACCCAAGTAGAGGAATGTGTGTGCCCTTAAAGAGAAACAATGGGCGAAACTAAAAGACATATGAAGCGGATTCCATTGAAGCTGTACAGACGTCATTAACTCGATACAAAGTAATTTATGAATATGTTACAAATATCATTGCTGAGCAACATCGTATTCAAATCAATGTTTATTTGCAAAAGTTTACACTTTTTTTACTAAGATACGCAAAGATTTATTTTATTTGAATACAATGAACCGATTTGAAGCGAAGCGTTAAACCGCCTAACAGTTTTCACAACACCTTGTACATATTTGCCAGGAACGATATTGTTTTTCGCTGTGACTTCATTATCTGAATACCAAAGGTGACAGCTTGCAGTCAAGCACTTTATTGTTTGTAACTTTTAAGTTACTTACCATAGCCATCATGTTACTAGCAGACGGTGAAACTATTCTTCTTTCTTCATTATGCGCGTCAACAATGACCGTCTTGTCACTTTCAGAAACGCCTGAAATGTTACAACTTACTATTTAATCATTTAAAATCATTTGGCTAATTTCGCCGTCGTCTTTTTATCTAGCTATTAGGCATTTAATTTAAGTCAACCTATTATATAGAATATCAGTTATTAATAATGGACAATTGTACAAAAAATAATTTTCTGTGAAATAAAAATATGCCCGTTATATTTAATTCTAATATCACTTTTAATATTGTGGAAAAAAATGCAAAAGATGACAGAAAGAGAGGAATAATTGCATCTATTTATTTGAGAAAAATAAGAAGGATACGTAGTATCTAACCTGACTTTTTAGCTTTAGATTGTGAAATACAAGCTGTATGGGAAGGGTCTATTTTCTTATATTTCTCGCACGAAACCTGTAAGTTCAAACAATACATAAAAAGAAGTATTTAAACTACATAAGCGATATATTTAAACAGTATAGTCTACAACCTTTTCCCATAGGTTTAGGTGGCATATACAACGCTTTTATGTTATACTTTTGTTGGCAAAGAAAAATGTTGTCCTAGCATTGGTATTTATACTGTTCGCTGTAAAAGCTTCAAAATCTTGATTTCATTTCGAATTTCATGGTAAAGTGTGAGTCAGATACGTTTATTAAAACGTTTGCGTCCAAAAACAGTGCAATCTCTACACAGAGAAGTTTTGGTTGCCGCAAAGAGAGAGAGGTGTTGCTCTTTAGATGTTAAATGCACTGTGGTCTCTTAAATTTAGATATTTTTACTGTTGTGGTAAAGAGGGTATTGGTCTACAAAAGACTTTTTTGCAAAGGTTGCACCGTAGTTAATAAAATACTTAAATTGTAGCATAATGATGAAGAGAAAAACAATAACAGAATCATAAAACTTAACTAAAAGCATGAGTATTTTGTTTTCATTTTTTGATGAAATATTATAGATGTCTTGCGTTTGTTTCATTCATTCTGTTCATTTGTTCCTTTTCCGAAAATATTGCTGCATGATTTGATTTTATCTTAGTTATTCATTTTGTATTTAATTCTATTTTTCGAAAGTTATATAAAGTGTTCCTACCCCTCGTTTCTTTTCTAGACCATCTACCTCTGCTGCAAGAACTGAGCCTGAAAAAGATTCATGTTTAATTGTAGATAGCACCGTGTAAATTATTGCTTAATTGTCATATAAGTGGTTTTGTAACGACTGTTTTGAAATATTGCAACAATTTGCCATTATTATCCCCAGAAAAACTCAACGCGCCCTAGATAATTATTTGTACTCTATACATGTTTCGAATTATAGAATATTCAGTTAAAATACAAGATAAGATTAGCGATTATGACATAGATTATACAGCTAAATGTTTCTCTCTCTTTTAATCATTCATCTTTCCCTTTAAAGTTTATTTAATACTAATAGTAGAACTCAAATTGTATCTCTTTCGCGGGATCATCAGGTCCAGTTTTTGCACAAATGTTTGATTTAAATATCACCAACATCTGTATTAATAGCAATGCAAAATGAAAATAACAAATAAGAAACTGTCGTTTGTATTTTATCTTGAATAGTATCAAAATATTAATGCTTATTATGATTTAATTGTACAAACTCTTTCTAAACCTAAATAGTATATTTCACATTTTTTTCTATCTTTTTAATGAAAATGTAAGGTTTAGCTCTTACCTATAAAGTACGCCACCAAAAACAACGAAACTGCGCGCTCAGAAAATAAACCCATATTCACAACTATACTTTTCTCGGTTAAGCCAAACACAATGCCTTCTCGAAACTGCTAACTTGACAAAGAAATCCCTTATATACTTACGACATTCTATTTGTTAACTGACCTCGTGATTGCCTTGTTTGAAGTCTGCAAATTGAGATTATTAGTGTAATGATAATGTTTTATGCCATTGCATTTGTTCTCAAAGCGTTACTTTCGCATGTGAACGCAGCTAGTATTGCATCATAAAATGCGTTTTTTAGACATTGAATAACTTTTCTTAGTATTAACCCTTGAAAAAGTACACTACTTTTGAATGTGTAAAACATGGGCAAAACACAGGAATATATGAATCTCTTGCTCGTAGCTCTTCGATCCCGTTGAACACTAACATAAACGAAGTATTGTGTGTAGTACTATGTGGTATGATGTGATATGATATTATGTGAAGTGATGAGATATGTTGTGGCGTGCTGTACTGTGCTGTGCTTTGTTGTTGTGCGGTGTGGTGTGGCGTACAATGGTGTGCTGTAGCATGCCGTTAAGTGCATGTATGTATGTATGTATGTATGTATGTATGCATGTATGTATGTATGTATGTTGGCTTGGAAAGGTAAACAAGTGAGAAAGAAAACGGTCCTAAATGATATGTAAATAAAGAACGTTTTCCATGGCCAAACAATATGTGAGAGTTGCATTATAAAATTTGGTTTGAAATAATAACATGAATTAATTATTGTGACAAAGGGCTACGAAAGGGGCATAACTATGATTAGTAACTAGTGTACTAGAATAAATGATAATAAATATATTCTGAAAAAAACTGTTAACATTGAATTTTGGAACATAATGAAAATGTTTCACATATTTCCTTATAGTAAGTCGCGAAACCAATATGCAGTTTAAGGACATCATTGATACGAAGAGGAGTTTTTTTAAGTTTTGGCGGGCACTCATTTGTTCAACCTTTAAAAGTTACAGAGATTCTAATGGGCATCAATAAGAATACAAATGTAAGACGTTCGTAACTTTTGTTTTCTTTTCTATATAGTATAAGCCAATGACATGTCAAATTCAGGATTATTTCAGCATCCATTTGTTATGCTTTAATTTCACAGTGCAATACACCTTGATTGTATATTGCACAAATTTCAATTACTATTTTATGCATAATTATGATATTTTTTTTAGAAATTACTTATGCTTATGTGTTCATTTTGCACCTATACAATTGACAAAGTGACTAAAAGTTAAACGCGTTCAATGCTTACAACATTTTACTTCATCTTGAATAAATGCACGCACGTAAAATAGACTCCCCTTTCCACGGGCTTAAGAATGACAAATCTTTTCAAACAACTTAAACCAGTGTTCATGCCAGTGTAAGTCATGTAATAAAAATCAAATCAGAAATAACTTCAGACATTTATCTAAAAAAATTGTTTCAAACCCCGGACCTCTTACATCCTAAGCGAGTATTTTACTATGGACCACACGCTTCTAATATATATAGGAAAAACTCAGAAGCAAACCAAATGCATCTTAATTAGGGTTTTTATCCTTAAAATCAACTGTGTATAATTACTTTCGTCTGTAGTTGTTGTACGGTTATTAAACAAAAAACATTTGATGTATGAAATCTAACGAAACCAATATTGCTGCGTTGCAGCTATATAAAGATAAATTGCTAAATGTTCTTTCTTTCACATAATCATTGACGGTAATTTTCGTAAATTATGGGTTAAAAATAATTATCAGTAATTTCATAATTGTATTGTTTCCGAAACAATAATCATAACGTTTCTTTGGAATTCTTTTTAAGTAAGTAATGATTAAAGAGTCATTGGTGCATTTAATTATTTAGATAATTATTTCCAAACCAGCGGAGGTCATAAAAATAGGCATATAAATGATTTTGAATACATTATCGAGGTCATTAAGAACATAAACAATGCATATTATACGTACATTAAATAAAACACATTGGATGAAACATAGGGAAACAACCAGAGAACATATCAACTGCGAAGGAAAAAACGGGTACTGACAAAAACAGTTATGTTTGTATATAAAAAGAACAAAAGAATAATCCGTTAAGCTAGATTGTACCATGCCAATTTACATAGAATACGTTCTGCAGCATTTAAAATTGCATTTTGTTCTTAAGTTTCCATGGGCGCATTATCGCCTTATCTTGTCGTCCTGTGAAACGGGAGTGTTGTGCGATAAGACTGTTTCTCTTGACTCACATAGAGAAATTGGCTCATTGGCACTATATTGCTTGCAACAGCGACCCATGCAACAGCACGATAAGGAGCCAACCCTTCGGTATCAGCCAAGGGACACGGTCACAACGCGCCGTAGTTTGACGCGTTTCGCAGCGACAAGACGAAAGGGTGTTAACGATATTAACGATAACGATACAAAAGTAAATTAATCAAAGCTCAGAAGGCGCTGAATTTGTTTGGGTCTCACCAATGATTTCCAGCGTTTTATTGTAGTAAATTGGCTATAAGACTGATTGCAACACTGATATTCAATCCAATGTTTATTTGACTTAAACAATTTGAAAAAAAAATGAGTTGCCTTTACTGGGATTTGAACTCCAGGCCTCTCGCTTCAGCCACGGTGAATTTATATGTGAACGCCCTGAAGAAAACCATATTATTCGATCTAAATTAGGGCTTGTAACGACTTTAACTGTTGTTTAACACAGATGTAAATAATCTTGGAGCTTACTATAAGCATGTATATTTATAAAGAATCAAAGGGCTGCAAGTTCTGTGGTATTTTCTGATCTTTGCAATCTAAATCGTACTGTATATATGTATGTATTTTCCCGTATAAGTTTAATTTTATGTATTATAATTAATTTTGCTAGGCATCAGAGTTTGATACAAACGGAATTCTACATGACTAGAGTTGCATCAAAAATCATTTATGTTCATTTTTTACGACAACCACACTTTATCCTTGCATATCATGGCTACTCTCTTTACAAAGACACTTAAAAAAGAATTTTAAAAAAAAGTTTCCTCGACTGGGATTCGAACTCCAGACCTCTCACTCACTAAGCGAGCGCGTTACCCCTGCACCACGGAGAAGTTATGCAAATTATTACTGAATAACATCATGTCATTCTAAATTTAGAACTTCCATTGCATTTCGGGTTTGTAATCCTTATTAATTTCGAGGTATTTTGTTCAGGATAAACCTGTTGTTTAAAATTGAAGTAAATAATTTAGCAAAACTCTTCACGCCCATTCAGTCCGACATGTAGAATCTATATATTCCACTACTCGGTTTGTGTAGTATTCGGTAATCCACATCGCTAAAAATAGTATTTTCATTGATAAAATTATATTCATCCGCGTAATTTGTGATTGTGCATTTATTGACAATTCTATAAGCCAACGCTATTTTTAAACTTTTAATGTGTTGTAATTTGTTTGATACTTGTAACAAAATAAAAATATTTCTTTCTTTTAAATCGCTAGTTTAAAGCTGTTTTGAGAACTACTTGTTGTTAGGTTTGTCATAAACTTCTGTGTCAGAGATTGAATGCCCGCTTTGTTTTTATTTATTTTCGATCAGAAAATACAATAAAACAATATTAGAAATATTCGACCATTCGGGAATTATTTTGCTTGAATATAGATGTGCCTGTCTTTGACCATCTTTACGCAGTGATCTCCCCTGAATTTTTCGGCGTTAGTGTTACATATAAAGGGAAGTAACCGCTTCAAAAAAATGGACTACTTTCGGCATTTGCAATTAACAACATTAGACTCTGACATTTCGCTACCATTATTTGTTTGGTCTGACGACCCAAACAAATAAAAACAATAAAATAGCGAAATTTATAGATGAGTCAATGAAATATAGAAACATTTTTTTTTTTAATTTCCCACAGCTTCTCTTTAAATCCTTATCTCGGTATAAAATCGTTTTGTTTTAACATGCATTTTTCTATACATTTGTTTAAACATGTTTATAGTTATATTGATGTTAAATGTCTTTGCCATATAGTAATGTGTGCTAGTTGTCGCTAGCGACAACGCAACGCTAAAAAGTGTAACAAATTAGCCACCTAATTAGATCAATATTATTTAATAATTATAGTTATTCATCTTTTGTGGTTGAGTACTGTTGAGTAATCTTTGAATCTTGTAGAACATGGTAGTACAGTCAGATTTTAATTAGTAAAAGAATTGCCCATTTGGATTTTTATAAGACGTTCTTTGTCTTTTTTTTTAATTTACATTCCTACTGTTTTTGGTGTTGTTTTTTCGCTGCCTCGTTTGCTTTTATTTATTGTCTACTCATCTATCTGTTTTCCTTTAAATTAATGGCTATATTTTGTATGTTATAAGTACCATCGTATTTTCATCTCATCATATTTTAGGGGTAGATACAGAACAGGTGATCTTTTATTCATCTATATTACTATTATTATGTTGATTAATGAAAGTGGCCTATACAAATCTTTTCGGCCTCATTTACATAATCATCTATCAAACCAAAAATGTGAATTTTCAATTCCGGTACCTACGTAATAATCACTCGGGCGTAACTACGTCAACATGTTTTTAAATCTTGTCTGACATGAGGCTTTGTTTAACAACAAAGCGCTTTGAAAATTGATATAAATATTAAACATAGACCAAGTATTTCGTTTTGGAATACTCTGACAATACTAATTTTCTTTCAAATATATGCGTGAAATTGAGCAAAATCGCAAACTTTTGCATCTTTCATAAAAAAAACATACGTGCGATTATCACGGCTCTATTGTCGCTGGCGGTTTTTATACATTTTTCCGAGATTTGCTTAACATCAAAACATTTCAAAGTTTGCATAAACCTTCAGATGAAGACACAATTAAACGGAAATTGATTTCGGAGGAATACATAATTCCAAAATGTTTAATCAAATATAAGATCTTACGCATGAATATTAAGGTACTACCTGTTCGGCGCGATAAAATCACACACGTGCACTTTAATTCTTATACAAATCATATATTTTGGTAATATAAGGTGCTCTATCCGATTGAAATTTTAATTGATAACCATTATTTAATGTTATTACTTACCTTCAAACGTTTCGATTTGTTAAGATAATGTTATTTTAATTTAAGGAGAAATGACACATCAATGATTGTCTATTTACAGACATCTCTAACAAATCATAACAAATACGCATAGCTATTATCAATATTTAAAATCACAACTGTCACAAAAATGATATTTAAGATGTTTTTAATTTTCAATTAAAGATAGCTAAAAGTTTAGTACGGGTGGGGTTCGAACCCACGCGGACATTCGTCCATTGGAACTTAAGTCCAACGCCTAACCACTCGGCCACCGTACTTCATATTTCATATCCTTTATGGATTGTATTTGTTTGTTGTCGTTTTATGCGAAAATTTCATAAATATTATATAGTTATCATTTCTTTATTCACTGGAATTGTTTAATATAATTATATCTGTTTTTAGATGTCGCAACATAAATGTTGTGGGTTAAGGATAATATCAGTATCAATCAGTATCAGTTGATCAACTTAGCTTAAAGTCAAGTCAATGGCATTTATTTAACTCTTTTCATGTACAAGTACGAACCTATTCTCAAATACATGTGTAGCAGTTAATTACATCATTTAACGTTATACTTAAGACAATCTATATATAATAGTAAATAATCAAATATTATACTGAAATTCTTGTACGTTTTCAACTATCAAGTATGTGAGTGGAGAGTCTAATTTGTTCTCTATTTTTATCAAATGAAATACCCATACAATCAGAAAGTAGTTATATTAATGTGAAAACGTAATATTTAGTTTATATAAGTATAAAGAAATTAATAATGTTTGACAGAGTGTTTTCACAGAGGCAAAATAGATGGATATTGCAAACGGTTGTAGTATACGATATTGGTTTACCAGACTAATCAAAGAGAGACATTAAACTAAGTTAATATTAAATACATTTATATCAATGTTTTTATTTACATTTAGTAATGATTTGTATCTGATGTTGCAAAAAATTCAGGTTTTTTGACGGAAATAACAATTGATTCAGGGGAATTAAGCAATGTAACAAACACTTAAAAGTCCAACGCCAGTTATCCATATTATGTCATGCAGATAATTATTACTTCTATCTCCGACAATTGTTTATTTTATTTTCGACTGTTTTACATTTTTCTTTTTATTCTCTAAATTTCTCTATACATGTATATAAATCATTATGTTCCTTTAAGTCAGAGTATAAATGTAATAAAGAATGCTTGTTTATTGGATATGTAAAATTATCACTTACTATTTCATATGCTACTTTGTCCACATAAAAGAAATAAACAACTCAGTAATAAAGTGTTTAACATTTAAATAAAATATACGAGTATATGATTACCAATATATGTGATTATCTTCTAACACAAACGGATACTTTTTAATTAAAAAAGAATACCGGAATTCTTTCAATTTATTTAAAAACAACAAATTCGTCGTTTGTTTGTGTGTTTTTTTTGTGTGTTTTTTTGTTGTTGTTGAAAGCGACAGAAATGTCATATTTAGATGCGCGTTCATTGGTTACTTTTCTCCGGGATTTCATATTGTGGCAGCAGGGAACGTGTTTTTATGTTTGACTATGATATAAAAGAGAAAGAACATCAATGATTAATACTCGGGGGCTACACCCCCTCGTATAAATCAGATAGCCTCGTGTTTCGATGCTCTTTCTATTACCTGGCATAGATTGCTTCTTAATCTCTATCAAATCTAGCTGGGTTAAAATATTTAGTTTAAATATTTATCTGACAATCTTACAATAATTAATTGTAAAAATGTCGAGCAGTTCGGCTTGACTTATTTTGTAAAATCAATCACAGGTAGACACATATTTATATCATTCCGTGAAACAGTTTGTACAATATAACTTCCTTGTTTTGTTTATATCAAATTCTTATTTTGAGTTTGAGATAAGTTGACTTTTCTTTATCATAAACAATACATTACGGATAATCGTATAAGTAGGTCTAACAACCAGGAAGTAAATTTACAGATAACAATCCTGAAGTAAATGTATTTTATATGCATTAACTTTGAACACCGTATACATTTATCGTTTTCTGAACCGAAACTGGAACGAAAGTTGCAGTGATTATAAAATGTGGATTTTTGGAGAGGAAATTGAAACCCAAAATGACTTCAACAACGAAAGTAATTGTAGCCGCGATTGATTTTGGAACTACCTTTTCCGGTTACGCTTTCTCTTTTGGGCATGATTTTCAAAATGACCCAATGAAGATTCAAACAAATCATTGGATTGGAGGTGGTCATATTTCTCTAAAGGTAATAATAAATTAGATATAAAAAAATGCATTACAAAGCTCACATAACCACTGATTGAAAAAGTTAAATTGTGTTATAATTGTGTTTCAGATCGATAATTGTAAACATACAAATATGTTTTTTTTCTCATGTTTTCATGGGATTGTAGCAAATAATATGGTGTAAGGTCATCGCAAATATGTATAATCGTTCTTTTTTCAGTATATAACATTTTACAGGATAACAATAATTATTCATCGCCGATTCGGTCAATAATCAGGTCATTTCAGAATAAATTTTGATTGAAATGAAATTCTCGAACGTGACAAAATCGAAGAACAAATAATTATTTATTTATGAAATCAACTCATGTTGAAATTCATACGCACCTTATGCTACACTCTATTTTGTCTCTTAGCAGTCTACATTACATGTATATATTTTCCGTCCTTTGTACATTTTTATCATGTCTTTGTTTTTGTTAAAATATTATTCATTGATTCTGTCTGATCGTCGTATTTTCAAGGCGCCGACTACGGTGCTGTTCACACCAGAAAAAGTATTTCATTCATTCGGATATGACGCTGAAGACAAATACATGGAATTAGCAGAGGAAGAGGATCACAAGGAATGGTATTATTTCCGTAGATTTAAAATGCTTCTTCATGAAAACAAGGTAAATATCTAAAAATATTGAAAACATTCTAATCAAACGAATTTTCAATTTATGTTTTTGGAGAAAACAAAAATGGCCATTTTTCAAAGTTTTAGAAACTATTCTTTGTGGTTGAATGTTTCATGTACTAACAAAACGACGAATTTTATATTAAAATATCGTGTTTACATTTTGGGTAAATGGTGACTGCTGTTGTTTTTAAAACTTGCATGAATATTATACACTGTCCAAATAAGTATTCTAGAAAGAAAATGGAAGTTCATGACAACGAGGTAATAGTAAAAACAATCGACTTTTCTTGATCTACAGCTTTATCTAAAAAGTATAGGTCTGGAATTCGTCTTTAGCATGGATGATGTTCGAATTTAAAATACATTCATGTATAATTTGTTGAGAAAATACAAGGGGTATATTTCAAAGAAAGATTTTTATTTCATAGGCCCTTACAAGAACAACAGTTTTAGCTGATGAACACAAGAAACCGCTACCAGCGTTAACAGTGTTTTCGTCGGCAATCAAATACCTTAAGCAACATCTTCTCCAAGTTATTCAACAAAGAGTTACGGAAATAAATGATGATGACATACATTGGGTTTTAACAGTTCCTGCAATCTGGAATGAATCAGCTAAACAATTTATGAAGGAAGCCGGTATCGAGGTAAATAAATATCAATATCGACAAACGAATGCATTAGAATATATTATGGTCAGTCGAGCGATAATGTCAAGGATTTCAAACAACTTATCTCTAAGTGCTGTGGTTGCGGAACCCGTAAGGATTCCTTTTATGTGAGGAAACTTCTTTCTAACTGGCTTATTAACCGGCGGTGGTTCTACCCGCTTTTACCTAAAATAATGCGCGAATTGACATTTCGGGTTGTCCTCTACTAGTAAAGCTGCAAACTTGCCATTTAATCGTTTTAGTGCGCATGCGAATTAAAATCAAGTGCCTTATTCTGAGGTTTATGTGAAGAGAAACAAATTATAGTGTTTATAATTTTTATCTTTAGGCTGGTTTACACAAGAACGGTCTTGTTCTTGCTTTGGAACCAGAAGGAGCGTCTGTATTTTGTAAGCGTTTACCTATTGAGCGTTTGCGCCTGTCGAAATCAAATGATATAGAAGCTTTCAAGAGTGGATCTAATTACATGGTTTTAGACCTAGGAGGTAAACTGGTAATTTTGTATCATTTTTAAGAACAAAACTAAATTAAAAAAGGGAAATTGACATGGTTCATAATGCAAGAAACGTATAGTTGTTATTCTTTTGTGCAGTTAGTCGGCTACCCATTTATGAAAAACACTGTAAACTTCTTTATTGTAGCAGCATGCACTTAGATTGTTGTAAGGTAACGTTTTCTTCTGAGATATAACATAACACGTAAATCTGGTTTTCTGGTTTTTGAAATGTTGCAGGTGGAACTGTTGATATCACTGTTCATTCTGTTCAATCAGATGGGACTCTTTCTGAAATTGCTAAAGCAAGCGGGGGTGCATGGGGCGGCATTCAGGTAGACACTGCCTTCCTTACGTTTCTTGAGCAAATTGTTGGAAAACAGTTTCTAGAAGAGTTTAGAGAGGAAAATACAGCCGACTTCATTGATATGATGAGAGAATTTGAAGCAAAGAAAAGAACGGTGTCTTCGAAATCAGATGGAATGGTGACAATGCGAATTGCAGCTTCTTTTTCCTTGCGGTTTAAAACTAAGAAAAAGAAGGATTTGCATCAACATGTTTCAGAATCAGAATATGTTGACCGTGTCTTTTTCAAGCGAGATAAGATTCAAATCAGTGCCGAAATTTTCAAACGCTTTTTCACGGATTCCATTTCAAATACAGTGTGCCACGTCAGAGAAATCCTAGAAGAAAATGATTATCGAGGAATTGAAACAATTTTGCTTGTTGGGGGATTTGCTGAATCAGAAATTGTTCAAGATGAGATACGAGCAGCGTTTTCAGACAAACGTGTTATAACTCCAAATGAATCCGGTCTAGTTGTTTTGAAAGGAGCTGTTCTGTATGGGCACAACCCAAAAGTTGTGAAATCTCGTATCAGCAAATACACCTACGGTGTTGAGGTACATGCACCATTTAATGAAGATTTGCATCCTGCAGAATATAAGTTTTTCGACGGAATTTACAAATGTCGATATTTGTTTGATCCATTTGTTCGTGCTGGACAAGTTGTTCCAGTTGATGAAGTGGTACGGAATAGTTATACGTCAAATATTATTGACGTCGAGGAAGGCGTAGGTATATTCGCATCAACCAGAGAATTTCCAGCATACGTCGTTGAAGAAAACTGCTTTAAACTCGGCAATGTTTACCTTGATGAGCCTGGTCATGAAGTTATTGTAGAGATGCAGTTTGGAGGGACACAGTTCTCGGTGCAGTTTACAGACCTCAACACGGGGGTGAAAAGAATTGACTGCTTTGATTTTCTATGCCATTAACATTCTAAATGGCGTAACGTTGTAGTTTATCACTTATAAATTTACGTCAATTTATAAGATATCTTTGAAGGAATTTAAGATGACCGTCTACAGGTGTATTCATCGACTATTTTGTTACTTGAAGGATGCAATAGATAAATACGTAGGCAGCAGGAGGAATTGTTAAAGGCTCCTTATTACATATATGTGGATAAAGAAGAATGACAACGGTTTTTGAGGTTTTTGTGTTTAGTATTACATGTATTTTAGTTTTAACATTTTTCGTCCACTAAAGGTTAATATTGAAACTGTTTTTATATATATAAGTGACTTATGCACTTGAAATGCATTTAATATCAACGAATAGACAGAAACATATGGAATTTAACACCACTTTCACATAATTAGTAATATGAAGAATATATTTATAACAACATTTTTATAGATGTGTTATATTCCGCTAATATTAACCTCTGCTAAATCTAAAATATTTTATATAGCTTGCCAGACCTAATAAAGTCAGGAACAAAAATATCCATGAACATGATGGCACGCTTTATTTTGTATGCCGTAAATGTTACCAGTTGCTCTAGCAAGTGTTAAAAACATAAGGCAAGTTTAAGTATTCTTTTCAAATGAATGAAAATTGTTATAAATATTACATTTATCGTCACGAAGTGAGAAAACTTTGCATCTATCATGTCATTTGCATCTAAGAATAAACATTCAGAAACCGGCATTATCACTTAACTGATCGATGCCTGATTGTTATAGCATGACTTCGTTTGGATATAGAGCACATCTTCTAATGGCTTTAGTTGCAAAAGCACTACATAGGAAAAATCGGTATACAACCCTCAACACTATAATTATCTTAATCAAAGATCCAAAAGGACCTGCTAAATGTATACTATGAAGTACACGGCGACTTTTTGCTGTTGTCACACAGCACTTCATAGTGTTTTTTTTTTTTTTTAAGAGATATCGCTCGGGAGTTAACAAAGAATAACTTCGGTTTGTTTATGACAGATAACGGAAAGTGCAATATCTGTAATGCTTAAGTATACAATTGTAAACACTAATGTTATTAGAATCGATTAACCCGAACATGACTGCCGAAGGACTGGAAAAATATGAAACCACTGAGTGAAGAACGCGTCAATAGTTTACAGCTGTCACAAAGTACCTAAAAGTGTAAAACCTCTTGAAAAGAAAGAACATTCAAGAGCACTGAAAACAAAAGCAAATAAATGAAAGTATAAACGTTTATTAGAAAGTATTTATATGTACATGACATTGCATTTTTATTATAAATATATACATCGGGTTCCTTATGTACAGAGGTTGTATACTTTAGTTGCTTAGCTTAGTTACAATACATAATGTACTAATTGTAATGTGGTATTCTGTACATTATAACATTATGTTTAAAATTAAAATTAAGAGTTTAATATTATACAAGATAAACTATATTTCTAGCTGTTATTTTTTCTACAAATTAGCAATTAGAAAGTAGTCACTTAACTTTGATTTGGATTACTAGGAATGAAGAAAACGGCTAAGTCTTTATATATATAACTGATATATAGATTGTTTAAGGAATAACTTTGTTTTATAATTGCTTTCCAAAGACAAAATCGGATATGTATTTCTACATAAATTTTACCGAGTTGTCATTTTTCAAATAATTCAATAAAAATGTATTTTGCACAAATGCTATCTACCCAGTCTTATCATATTACACCTTAGAAAAATAACAGTCAATACTATCATTTAGGAAGTATTTACTTAATATTTGTATTCAATGAAGAATATTAATGATTTATGAATAAGAAATGGATCGAATCGTTAAAAGGGTGTGAATAGTAAGCACTGTAATATTCAGTGTATCGTTTTAAGGTCCATGTGCTTCAGAAATGTTATTATTTTTATTTCTCAAATGACTCATCTTAGTTTTTTTTAGAATAATACTCATTTGCCATATACATAAGCTATCTTTTGCTGATTTTGTTATGTTGGTAATTTGTAAACTTATAGTAAATTAGTATTTTGTTTGAAAGTCAAAATACTACTTTGTATACAACACATTACTGAATGTTCTACGCTATTTCTTCAGTTGTTATGCATTCAACATGCTCTAAATCCATTATCAAAACATTACTAAACACATGTTTGACATTTCTAAAGATTTTTTAAAAAGAATTTCTGAGGCATATTTTGCCTTTAGTTTAAGATATCGAGAAAAGGCAACGCGATGTAGTCCGCATATATCATGTATATGTTCATATAATTTAATATTTGGAAACAGGAGTAGATTAAGAGTCCAAAGCTTTTGTAATTATTCAATATTAGGCTCTCCAAATTTAAGAAGTAAATATACACATGATAATGTAGCATGTACAACAAAAGTCGTAAAGTTATTTATTTTTTAAGCGGATTTGGCTAGACGTACTTATACAGAAGCCAATGAATTCGTACAATACCGGAGAAGAATCATTATGATAATTATAAACTCTTTTGAACTAGGTGCCATCAAACGTTAAAGAATATATATTCAGGATATTTTCCTTTTATGCACAGTTTCAAAAAAATAACAAATAATTATTTGTTAAAAAAGCATATTATTTTAATACTTGAATTGGAAATAAAACATAAAAAAACAGTTAAATGACCTATGCAATACATTGCATTATAAGGTACTTTTCGTGGGGATTGGGAACCGAAAATCAATATAGATGTATAAATCCTAAATCAAATATCTATTTAAACTCAATTTTACTTCATGCTCAAATGATAGTAAATTGTGACAATTAAAAATCTACCAGGTTTTATTATTTGTAGCAAATGCTGGAAATATGTGGAATGTTTCAGACAACCATTTTTCTTTGTAAACATCGGTGATATTTTACATATAACCTTTTTTTGTATGTGCAAAAGTTATCACTCCCGGCTCCTTTGTTTAACTTGTTTAATTCCTTTGAGATTAGTTATTCACGGACCAGTGTCACTCTGAAGGAACAAACTTAAAACTTGTAATGTCATATTGAAATTAATAATGTTGCTTAGAGCTGCTCTAAGACTTATGATCAAAGTTTATAAATGAAATTTTAAAACAAATAGTCTTGAATGAAATAAACTTACAATTTGCCAATATTAATGTGTTTAACAAAAGATTGTATAAAGAGATAATAAACATGACCACATAATCTTTAGTAAGGAAAGACATGAAAATAGTTGCACATACAATAAACATGTAGTTAAATTGACATTAACAAATAAATGCATTTGGTATTATGACATCAATAAATCAATAAACTTGCATTTAAAATCTACTTTACAAAATTGTATCATAAATGTTGAAAAAAAAGCATACAGTATATAATATGTAACAAATATAAAATATCAAATAGAAACTTTAAAAATGTTGAAACTATGCATGCAATTTCTTGTAAATGTATATACACATGCGAACGTAAGAATGACGGTTACAATGTTGCAATCACCTAAAAAAGACAGGAATTCATTTTTGGTGTAATTATTACATAAACATTATTCTCTCATATATTACATACGGAAAGACCATAATTCACACTAGTTAACATCATTATGTACACAATTATTGGAATAAACGCAATCATTCTATTGTACAATATAATTGTTTTAATTGGCCTTCCTTTGTCTATTCAGCTGTCTGGCTTATTTTGTCGGGAGAATCATCCTGAACGGTTGCATCGTTTGCAAGCAGAGCCTTCACAGATGTGTGAGAATCAAGCAGCAGTACCAAAGCGTCATGAAGGAATCTGTGTTGTTCCTGTGAATGTAAAGTTTTGTTATAATAACAGATTTTGACAATATCAAAAAAAAAAACACACCTAATCTAAGTTTACTTCCCTTCCTTAAATTCAAGTTTAATAAAAATAATAATTATGACAAGGACACTGCAAAGGTTGGGCAATGTTCGCTTGAATGTAAATTTGTTTCATAAATCAAAAAAGATTTTTCAATTAGGGAAGATATTCAAATAAGAAACTTGTCTAATAACGTTTTATCTTAAAAATCATTTTGAAACTGTAAGACCTCCAAAGAGGCATATTGTACCTTAGGTGCATACTTCATAAAACTTTTATAGAGATCTACAGGGCAATGCTAAAGAGGCATGGTTGCTATCCAAAAGAAGATGAAATGTGTTTTCCTATACCTTATTGTACAGAAAGCAAGTGACTCCCGGGACAGGGCCAATTTTGAAATGTTTTTTATGATTTACACAACTTTTATAGAAATCTGATGCTACATGGGAAATATCTAGACTTTGAAGTTGAACGCAATAATGTATTTTTTTTATATAAAATAAGTGCCTCCCGGGGCGGGGCAAATATCTAAGCCCCTTTACGTTGAATTTTCGCACGATAATAATCAAATTAGTTATTCCATATTTATATGTACAAAATGTGTGAAGCCCCAAATATTGACCCAAGTTTATAATTTATAACAATTTTGTAGAGGTCAACAAGGAAATGGTAGATAACAAATATTTCTCAAAATAAGACTGAACTGTGTTTTTCTCATACAATACTATATCAAGTGAATCCAGGGACGGGGTCAATATTGACCAATGGGTTATGACTAATACCAGTTTTGTATAGGCTTAAAAGGGCATGTTACATGTCAAATATCTAGTGTCTAAGCAATGTGATTACATAACATACGTCTACAGGAATTCAAATTATTTTTTGAAAGATAGGTACACGTTTAACGGCAAATATGATGACATAACACTGTTTGTACTAAACTAGCTCGATCCTCTCTGAGATTTCTGGCACATTCAAATATATCCACTGTACTCCACTGAAACTCCCTCATTCGCTAGTATGTCCAATGCAATAAATGTTCCTGTCCGTCCAACCCCGGCACTGTAAAATATTTATTAATATTTCTGTTATCTACAAAGTAAAAACAAATGGTAATAATAAGTAAAAAATTGAATAATATTATTTGTTTATAAATTTGCTAAAATATTTCAAGTTAAATTATCAACTTTCTATATTTAAGATACTGCATTTGTCATTTCCTCTCACGAACAAACACAATCAAGTCAATTTATTTTAATTTCTGCTCATCAAATTGTACGCACTTCATCAAAGTGTTGTCTTATTGTTTAGTCACACGAACCTTTGTGATCATTCATTAAATGTACATTATAGATTATGATGGTGCTTTGGGGTGGGAAAAGTTGCGCTTTTCATTTTCTCTTTGTTTTTTATTTATCTTTAAAGATCTTCCTTGTAAAGATTTACTACAAACAATTTTATTGTTACCTGCAGTGTACTATTATAGGTCCAAGCTCGAACGCAGGTATTCTTGTGACTTTCTTCCAAAACTCTACAATGGTGTGTGCATCTTTAGGTGTATTTATGTCTGGCCATGCAGTAAAGTGCATTTGATAAAGTATTATCTTTTACAAATTCGTTCAACAATATTATTATTATTGTTATTATTTTATTATTTTTGATATAAATAGTGAGGGCGATGAAGTAAATGAAATCTCTAGAAGTGATATTTTATTAACCTGTCAATTGCACAATAATTATACGGTCAGTGTGTGTGCTAAATACATCTTCGGTACGTTTTAGGTAGTTACCGTTTTATGTTCTATAATCAAAGTCGTTATATATCGACACAAAGTATCATAACAAAACGGTTAAGCTAGGATGCATAAGGTTGAGGTGGCTCAGGTACGTATCTATTTATTTTAAAGGTTCAGCTATTCAACTCCTCTTTTTAATATTTTTATTATTTCAAACAGATCCATAAAACATATGACAAAAGAGCGTGTAAGGTAAATTTGATTTAGCTCTAATATTTTGTACTTGACGAATTGTTATCGGGAACTGCTTGGGTATCAGTTTAAACAGGTACCTTTGTTCAAAATAATCCCGATAAAAAGGAGGAACAAATGAATTTACTTGATACCGGCTGATAGGATGAGACCAACAATCTCTGTCAAGTCAGGTACCGTCATTGCCTTATCCACTAAACAACTATTACCGAAGTACTTGATGGTGCAAGCAAATGTAAAATAGAAATGTATTTCAGACGTTTTTTTTTTTTCAAAAAATAAAAATGAGCGCGATCAAGTATGCATACTTGGCAGGTCAGAAAGGGACTGTATAACAAGAAATAAATATTCATTTGCTCATTGCCATTTTCTCATTTTATTTATTTATTTATTTATTTATTTATTTATTTCGATTTCGTGTAACAAATAACGCAGCTACATGGTTGCACATAATTAAAACAAACGTTGCACAAATTCTCTCTTACCCCGATGGAAAATATTCTGACAGTAAAACAAGGATATATTTCCTCGGATTTACCCGAAACCTTTACATCTCCATAAGTGCAGCAAACTTCTTTATCTGGACAGTACTTGTCACATTTTTTCACTTAAATATAACACAATAATAGCGTTTTTTTATCAAAATCATGTGTGAAAAATATTGCATCAGTTCCTTCCGATAACCAAATTATCAAACAATATCTTATATAACAGATAGAGATAGAACGTTATTTGGTGACACACACTTGCACATAACGTACATACCGAGAGATGCTATATAAGCATTTTATCGTTTATAAGCCTTAAATTTAAATATTTTATAGATATAACATTATTCTGTAAATAATGACACTTTTCCAAGTTTTGCAATAAGTGAA